ACCCCATGCACCCAACACCCCTCTGTGACCCCATGCACCCAACACCCCTCTGTGTCCCCAGGCACCCAACGCCCCTCTGTGACCCCACACACCCAACGCCCCTCTGTGACCCCACGCACCCAACGCCCCTCTGTGACCCCACACACCCAATACCTCTCTGTGTCCCCACGCACCCAACACCCCATGCCCTGCCCTGTGCTGGGCTCCCCACCCTGGCCTCCCCAGCACCACTGGGTGCCTCAGCACACCCAGGCATCCTGCTGGTCCTGTCCCCGTGTCCCTGACGCTGCGGGTGCTGGGGCAGCCACTGAGCACGTCAGCTGCCCCGGACATGGGTGCTCTTCTAAGGGCAGCAAGGGCAGCTGAGCCTGGGTGCCTCGGGGGTTCCCAGCGAGCTCTCGCCTTGCCATGAAGCAGAAATTTGGGCATGCAGAGAGTTTCAGAGGTGCAGCCGCAGTGGGTGTAGCTGTGCCTCCCAGCCCCGGGCTCAGAGGCAAGGTGACAAGGGGACGTGGGTCCCGCTGCCCCCTCGGCAGCTTCTCAGCTGACTCCTCTGCAGGTACCTGGTGTGCTCGGGGCAGGCTGAGCTGTGGGACTGGACCACCAGCATCCTCAAGGCTCAGGTGGGTGCTGCTGGGCTGGGCTGGGAGGGGGCTGGCATGGCAGCCCGGCATGACCCCCCCTGTCCCTGCCCTGTCCCTGTGCACAGCACGACGACCTGCGCCCTGTGATCATGCGCCGGCGCTCCTCCTCCGACCTCGCCAAGCAGAAGTTCGGCACCATGCCGCTGGTGCCACTGCACGGGGACAGCACCGACGCCACCATGCTCTCCGCCAACCAGACCCTGGTAAAGCCCCCGCAGCCACCCCCGCCCACGGGTGCTCCTGCACCCATCCAGGTCCATGCACCCGACCCAAGGCCACGCGCCCAGGGGCCCGGCGGGGGGTGCGCAACGCCTGGCGCCGATGGATGCTTTTGGGGGGTGTCCCTGTGCTTGGCGGTGTGTGCGTGCTGCGTGCTGTGCTCGTGTCCGTGGCAGCTCTCCGTGCGTGCAGGGCCCTGCGAGGGCACGTGGGGTCCTGCAAGGGCACGTGGGGTCCTGCACCCTGCTGCCCATCGTCTACCTGCCGAGGCATCCGTGACCCTGCTCCGTGCTATCATGTGCTTACCTCTGCCCATCTCCTCTGTTTCTAGCGCCGCCTGCACACGCGAAGGACTTTGTCCATGTTCTTTGTAAGTACCTGCACGCGTGGAGTGCCTCCGTTGCTGGCTTGCACCGTGCCTCCTGTCTACGGCCGCGAGGCCTCGCCTGCAGCATCCCGCCTGCGCTCAGGGACGCGCCGGGGCCATCCCGCCCGTGCTGTGTGGCAGAGGAGGGGGTGCCCATTGATCTGCGCGCCCTGTCCTCGGGGATGGGGGTCCCTGCACAGTCCCGGTCTGTGCAAGCAAGACCACAACAGCTCAGCCCAGCTCCCAGAGCCTCTCCCGTTGGGTGCGCATTGCCCAGAGGGGATCAACATAAGAAATGCAAGGAAACAGGTCTGGGTCCTCCTCGCCACCAGGTTATTTCGGTCTGGCTGGACCTCACCTCCCCTGGCTTTGCGCGCTGCGTGGGCATCCGTCTGCCCTCCCCGCCCCAGACCACCTCTGCCAAGGGATGCTGGGCTGGTGCCGCACTCACGCTCTGTCGGGACAAAAGCACTCACCCTCCGCTGGTGACGGGGGAAGAAAGGGCAGCAGTGCCTGAGTCAAGAGACCTGATGGAGGGTGGGGGCCCCGCGGGCATCAGCCCCACGGTGAGGGGGCAAGGCTCAGTGCCCGAGCGCAGGGAGGGCAGGGTGAGGGGGATGGAGGGATGTGGCTGAGCAGTGCAGGCAGTGCCCCTCACCCCCTCCTCTGCCCTCCCACAGCCCATGAAGATGCACCAGGACTCCCTGGAGGAGCAGCAGGAGAAGGAGGCGGACGCCGACCCTGTCTACGAGGAGGTGGGCAACTTCCCTGAGCTGGCCGGCCTGGACCTGGGGCGGGGGCTGCTGGCAGACCTGTCGGCTGTGCCCCCTGTGGAGAGGTCCAAGAAGCTGGCCCCGTTCCCCGAGCAGCCCCCGGCCACGGCGCTGCGCTCCTTGCTGCCCTCCACTCCAGCCCAGAGGGTGGCCGGTCCCTCCGTCACCAAAGCCCTGTCCCTGGAAAGGGGCTTGAACCTGGAGAGCGACAAAGCTCCAGCCCAGGGGCTCAGACCCACCAAAACGGCCTCTCTGGAGAGGAACGTGGAGCATTCCCTGGCCGGGGACTGGGAGGAGGAAGCCATGCCAGGGAGCAGCCCCGGCAAGGAGACATCCCTGGAGTTCTCCAGGAAGCGGAACATGCAGCCTCCCTCGCGCGTCAGTGACAAACTCATCCAGGAACTCAGCAGCGTCATCCTCAGGAAGACCGAGGGCCAGGCACCGGGGCCAGGCCAGCCGGTGACGTGACCCACCGTGCCAATGGGGCGGCCGCCAACCTGGGGGTCATGTCGTGCCTGCTGGCAGCGAAGATGGATATGCCACACTCCCACACCGTGGAGCCCTCCTCTTCCTCCTCCTCCTGACCCTGGAGCTGGGCTGGGAGCGGGATCCAGTGGGGACCAGGGGACTAGTGGGGACTGGGATGCTGGGGGCGTGGTACCCCCTCTTTGGGGATGCTGCCACACGTGCCCTGGCTAGTGGGTGGCACGTCTGCCATCAGGCCCAGTGCCACGGGAAGCAAGTAAAAGGGAAAATCAAAGCCTGCCCACATGTTTCGGCAGCACGGCAGGGTGGCAAGCCGGGGGGCATGTGCGGTGCCTGCCAGAACAGGGCAACGCAGCACAATGTCCCGTCCCCAGCGCTGGGCCTGTGAGGCAGGGACAGGGCACCCAAGCCATCCCTGTGTCCCTTCTTGCATCTACCATGGCATGTTTTGGAGGGGGGGTCACCAGGAGCAGGGCTGTCCGTGTGTGCCCGGTGCGTAGTCCTGGCGATGGAGGACAGCTCCTGCTCAGCGGGGGTATTTATGCCTGTTCCTTCCACCAGCAGGGAGAAATAAAGGTTTATTTGTACTCTGGAGGGTTTGGTGACTGCAAGGAGGAGCAGTGAGGGACGCCGCGGTCTGGCAGGCGGGGAGCTGGGGGTGCCAGGGCCAGGCACCCATCAGGGGACCTGTGGGATGGGGGCAGCGCTGGCAGCGTCGGAGGAACTGCAAACCTGGGGTGAAGTCCCAGCGAACCTCAGATCCGGGGTGGGATTTTCTACCCAAGTCTGCTGCCAGCCTGGGACAGCGTGGGCCTTGGTGCTGGGCACCAAGCTGCAAGGACCCCCCCGGGCAGGGGGACACAGCCTGGCACCCCCCAGCCCTGCCTACAGCTGGCTCTGCTCACTGGAAC